ACGAGGCAGCACGCTGACCGGGGCTGAAGGAGAGCGCGCTGGGCCCCGGCAGCCCTCTGTCATCCATGAGCCTGGCCTGCTCGGTTCTGGGAGCTTGAGGCTGGGTCAGGGCCCCCCCACTAAGAGCAGCACCGATCCCACTGTGCCCCAGCAGAGCACTCCTGGGGCGGGGGTTGGAGGAAATGGCTTCTGCAATGGGCTCAGACCCCTCGTTCAAGCAGGAGACCGGGCACTTGGGGTCGTTTAAGTGGGGCGTGGGGAATGGTGAACAACCTTTAGGAGAAAAGCTGGGCCTGTGCTCTCTCCTTGGAGCCACCAGAGCTCTAACATCTATGGCCAAGGGCCTGGTGGCGCCCTGCACCAGAGCCACACGGCATGTGCTTGTCCTCAGGTGCGCCACAGCCCGAGACTGAAGGTTTCAGAGCTCGTTGTTCTGCCTGTGAACCCATCCCCTCCCCCTTCCAGGAAAGCATAATAGAAAGTAGCTGCTCACGTGAGAGAAACTAACAGTTAATGGAGAACGCAGGGCAGTCTGGGATCTGGCGAGAGCTTAGCTTTCGCAGGATCCGGGAACCAGCATCAGTGAGTAGCTGACAGGGTTCCTGTGAAAGGCCTGGGACATTCTATTCACGAGTTCCTGCTGCAGCTTTAAGACCACTTGGCCTGTCAACCCAGAGCCACTCCTCCTGGGGAGCAGGGACCCTTCATGGTGAGCACCCCTGGAGCGTTGACTGCAGTTGCAAAAGGGCCTTTGGTGGTGAGAGGGCTGTCCGATCGATCCCCAGGTCATGGCCGGCCCCGGTAGCGTATTTTTTGTGTTGGATGCACTCCTGTCCGTTACTTTGCGTGTGAGCTCGGGTTTGCTGTGGACTCTGCAGCCAGAGACCGCCTTGGCCTCCTGAGGTGTGGCAACAGCTTTATTCTAAGCAGGGTCCCAGCTTTACTGAGGCTTTGGGGTTGGGGTACTTTTAAAATGCAAATGACAATGAAGACCCAGCGAAGGTGGTAGCCCAGCCAGTAGACAAAATGGCACTAGAAATCAACAAGGAGGAAACACCTTGGGGTCCCAGGTAATTAAAAAGGAAAAACAGCTGGCCCAGCTCTGAGTAAGTACGTATTTTGTAATATTGATGCTGGCTGGCTTGTTCACTACGGCCTCAAGCCACCACTAATCCGGCACCCTGAGCACAGGGCCTCTGTCGGGAAGCGGGTTTGGGTAAAGTGTGGCCCCTACAGAGACCACCGTACTCAGGTCAGCCGGACCAGGAGCAGACAAATTCTCCAGCAAGAACCTGGAACGGGAAAACCCCATGGGCTTGAAGTGGAAAGAAGCCTCATACTGTAACTCAGAAATGAAGGGGATGGTTTCTCCAAACACGTTGGTTGTCACCAACCTAACGCGGTGAAGCCATTTCACTCATGAAAGGAAGTCCCCCAGCTGAGGATGAAACCTCAGTCTGTGGCTTATGGTACCGATTAGATGTCCACTGCTGCACTCTCAGGACTGTCATTTCTTAAGTCTGTGTTGATAACTCCCTGTGAGAGCCCCATCCTTGGGCGGGGGTTGAGAATTATAGCAGAGAAGCCCTTTTTTGGTGCTCAGAGCTGAAGATCTCCCCTCACAGCCACTGCTGTCAGCTGTCCATGTTACAAAACTCCCAAAAGGCGCTTTTTAGTGGAACTTTGGGTAAGTTTTTCTCATTTCATTGTGATTCTTTCAAGGAAATGGGAAAGACTGAATAAAGCCCTTTCCCTCTTAATCACTTTAAAAATAATGAACCATATCTTTAAATATCGGGAAGCATTTTGATAAAAAGGCTTCCATAGAACCTGGTTATCCAGAGACGCTCTTGCCTGTTGGCCAGAGCAACACCCGGGCCTCAGGTGCACGGCTTCTGAGCGAATTGCACTTTCATAGACTAACCCTCAGTCCTCGTGGCCTTATGGGATAGTGGGCCTGGGCACCTGCCAAAGAATTATCCAGAAGCACATCAAATGCCAACACCCCACCTGCACAGTGGGGGTGAGAACCTTTTGTATCCCCAAACATTTCTTTACAGCTTCTGCTGCACCGTTTGGAAGTGTATTTTTAACCTCAGGATTTAAATAAACACTATGACATTGAGGATGGTGTCATCTTTAATTCCATTGGGATGTAAGGCACACAGTGAAGTTACCCACACCAGAGTCAGGTTAAGCTGCCTTGCTGGGAGATTGGTTCTGAGAAGTCCAGCACGGCCTGATCTCCGGATACTTCCCAGCCCACTCAGGCGGGTGTTGAGACCTGCCTGGGCCAATCCCCACTCCAGCCCACCACCCTCCACCAGGCAAGCTGCCCTCGGCTCACATGTCCCAGCCCTTCCCGGTACAGCGCTGTGAGCAAAGGGCTGACGTCTGTTTTACCAGAAGAGTGGGGTGGGGAGGTCATGGATGGCTTAAAACCACAATTAGTCCACCAGTGGTACAGGCCGGGCAGCTGGCAGAGGGAGGAGTGCAGGCTCCCAGCTTACACGGCTCTAGCGGGGTCAGGCCCGGGTGGTGTCCCAGTCACTCCTGGAACAGTCAGACTGAGGTCAGGTTGGGCTGTCCACACCTTACTCTCCACATCTGGGGATGCCACAGCTCCTTCCCTTGGTCTCCCTGAGCCTCATAGAACCTCCCAGCCCCCTTCCCCGCAACCCTCCCCATTCTCCCGTGGCTTCCCCTTATTCAGCTGTTTCGGAGGAACTTTCGGCATCTGTGTGCTCCCTGGCTCCGTTCATCCCCACCTCCCCACTTTGAGCACTGCCAGGGTGATCCAGTTACTGAATCCTTAGGGACACTGGTCGGTCCCTATGCCTTGGTCAGCTCTAAGCCCTCAGCAATGCCATTGGGAAACTTGGTGAGGGACAGAAGCTCCTGGAACTCCCTTGGCCTACGAGAGGTTTGGAGAGGGTGCAGGTGAGGTGAGCAATCAGTGGCTCCTCCCCCTGTCCTCCTCTTGTTATGTCCTCAATCCAAGCCTCACTCTGTCCAGCGACCAGCCTGAAGTAAGGGAAGATTGGTTCATCCAAGCACCTGAAACAGCACCTAGGAGAGGTCTGTAGATGGAACAGTCCCTCCAGAGGCTTGGTGGCTTTGCGGGGTGGGGGCTGGAACGAGAGCCGAGACACAAATGTACGTGCTGTGTCTGGGGCTGGGATCTGGGGGCCTCCATGTCAGAATCCCCATCGCACCTCCCCCGCCCGCTAAAGCACCAAGCAGCCCAAGGTGACCTAAGTCTGCCCCAGGTTTTCCAAGGCCCATGCTTGCTCCCAGGCTCCTGGCCAGCTCAGTGCCACCAGCTCCGTGGCACGTGGAGGGACCACGCCTCCTCGGGCCACGTGCGTCCCTTGGTGCTGGGGGATGTGGCGACCCCCCGGTGACTCAGAAGGACACTCAGCAGGGTCAGCCCTCTCGGTTTGAAGATGCGTGGGAAAAATCTGGTGAGAGAGCTCGCCACCCACACACATCTGAAAAGCCAAATAGATAGTGAAACCGGTCGCCCCAGAGGAGAAAACGGACTTTTTTTGAGGGAGCAGTTGAAGCTGAGGCCATGAAAAGGCAGGGGGAGGGCACAGCTGTTCTGAAAGCTGTTCAAAGTGGGTGAGGGTTGAAAGGAAGGTCAGCCTTTTGCTTTTCCCACGCCCCGGGCTCCTGGGGGGAGATGGGAAAGCCGAGCAGAAGCGCGATGGCCAACCTCGGCCTCTGATGTGTGTCTCCTCCCTCCCCGCCGCCGAGCCCGTGGGAGGACCGAAACCCGTGCGGTTTCCTCACACCTTCTGGCCCGTGTGCACTGAGGTTATCTCCGAGCTCGCAGCCCCAACTGGAGGCTGGAATGAATGGTTTTCTTGGCTAAAAAGGGAGCGACGTGAGACAGGCCTCACGAGACCTGAGGTGCGTGCGTGTCCTGACCACGTCTGGCTTTGGGCCTGTGGCTCCATGGACTCACCCGAGAAAAGGTGGGTCCAGGAGGCCCTCCCCAGCTTTCTGCTCCCAAGGAGCCCCACTGAGCCACAGAAGAAGGAGCCCATTCCTGGGAGCCTAAAGCTGTCTGCCAGGTCAGTGGGGCTGCATTGTCTTCTCCCTGGAGGGTGTGTGTGTGGCGGGGGGGGGCTCTAAGGATGAGCAGGCACAGAAGGGGTGAGGGGAGGGAAAAGCAGGAAGGGCCTTCCCCGAGGCCTCCGGCAGGGCTGGACTGCAGGCAGGTTAGCAGAAGTCGCCTTGCTCAGCGGAGGAAAAGAGCGGTGGGGAAGGGGCAGCGTTGGTGTGGCCAGAGCCAGCCACCCCGTCCAGTGGAGGCAGCGTGTTAGTGGAATGGAGACCTGGACCGTTTACCAAACAGACACCAAAGGCAGTGACAGCAGGCGGGGAAGAGGCAATCCGCCTGTTCCTCTGACTCCGGCTGCCTTCGAGGCCTTGCGTGCACCCACAGAAAGGCACTGGGGAGTGCAGGCCCCGTCCTGCTTCCCAAGAGGCCTTGGCACAGGAGACGGGGTCCACGCGTGGAACCAGAAGCCTTTGTAAAGACAGCCTGGCCACCGGCAAGGACGCCCACCGAACGGTTGGGTGATCTCTTGCCCTGGCTGTGGAAGAGGGAGGATGGGGAACCAGCACCCATCTCGGATCAGGCCCAGAGCCGCCTGGGTCACTAAGGGTTCAGACATCAGAAAAAGCCCAAG